AAACATAATAAATGTGAGGCATGTGTTGAAAACATTGTGTCTGCACGAACCAGATTATAAGCAGCCTGCACCTATTGCAGTGCAACTAAGGTAAGCTTTGCGTATAAGATATGCTCAACTCAAACCTATACATTGCCTTGCGGAACCGAAATTTCATCATACATAGAAAGAGTTACGACAAGGGTATCCAAAGGTTTATCTCAAAATATTTACATTGAGAAATTCATTTTGAAGCAGGGTGACACACAAATAATGATGAACTAACAATACAAAGAAAACCTTGTTAATCAACTTAAACGACTGATTCTGCACATACCTGGGATGACATGTACACATATTTGTCAACTATGTTGTTAAGATTTACAAAACTGCCGTGTGCTAGACCGAAATGAGGCATTTACCAGTAGATATGAGTTATCCCTTCCGGTCTCTTTCTCCATAGTTTTCACACTTTGATAAAAATAGGAGTCGTTGTCACGCCGGTACCTTTAATGATCGACTAAAGATCGATGGTGTGGTATCATTGCACCTTACGTCCTGGGAGATGAGAGCAACATTAAAGAATGTACAGTATGTTTATGCACTGAAATGCCCTATCTCGTGTTCAATATGAATGAGTGTAGCCGAGATAATGCGCAAATGTTCTCTAATCTTAAAGCAGAGTTTATTCGTCTTTGTGTTAAAGCTGTCACAAAATTAATCATGCAAAAACAAAGATTATTTATCGTGTAGAACTTGTCTATCGCGACACGCGACGTTGACGTAGAAATTTTTGTCACAAAATGATGCAAGAAACGTTTCCTTACGCTTCCTGCGCCGTTAGGTTTAGCGAAAGTTGTTGACAGCACTCTAAATTTACCTACACATCGATTTTAACGTGTTCGTTGCAGGGTCGCCTTAATTCTTGACGCGTTTGATTGTTGCCATTACCGACGAAAGGCAAGTCGATCGATGGTAAAAAAAACGTGCACCGAAATCATGTTTAGCTGTTTGCAATATGAAACTACTTTTTATCTCCAAAAAGCTTTATTGTCTACCTGTTTTAAATTGGATAAAACGGTGACTGTAGACCGATCATGTCGACTGAGTTTATTATGGCATATGCGATGATATGTTGTCGAATTGATTCTCGATGCTCGATGATTTGAAATTGGACGTATTACTCTTCAAAACATATTCATTTCTCGACCTGTTTGCCAACGAATTGATTGCACTTCTAAACCTGATAAATAATCAAAAGATTTACACCATCTCAATGACGATCGTATATACGGATGTCCTACTTCTTCTGGAGCTATCTCCGAAAGTAGTCTGACAATTTGACATAGTTTTAGCTGTAAAGGACGTCTCGACATCAAATAAGAATCAGTGCATGAGTGAGACGTAAGCATCATCACACTTCATAAGTGGGTTGTCCATTTAACCGTCTTTCTAGCGGTAGCATCATCGTCTACACCAAAATCCGTTTCACTTAACCTGTTTGTTGTAGGGTGCATGGATGACACGAGTCCGTGCTGATTTTTTTGTAATCCAACCGTGACACTCGTCGATCACATTTGTTGACGAGATAGACGTGAGCAATGAATGCCTAAACTTGATGCAGCTCGCATCAGCTTGATTGTTACCGTTAGGTGAATGTTTGCTCAATATATTACTGGTGAGTGGGTGGATACGAAAATTTCGTATTTTCTATTGTGGATGGAATGCGCCTCTGATGTCTGTTTAAGCACATGTTTCGTCGACGGCTCAGTCCGTATATATATTTTTATATATATATATATATATATATATGTAACTGGAATTGCCGCATTTGTAATGATCCGATTAAGGGCAACAAAACTATAATGACTGAGTACAATTGATGGGTGCACTTTTGCTGCCATATTGCTATTCCAAAGGATGCATATTATAAACTGAGAGCCAGGATCAAGACTGTTGATTGGTGGAAAGCCGTCGGCTACATGCCATTATCGCAAAGATGTCCGAGGGAGCGCTGATCACAGGACTTGTGTTTGATTGAACTAGGTAATAAATATAAACAATCGTCTGATATGATTGTTAGTAATAAATGTGCATGTTGTTTTATGCATCCGTATCTTTCAGGACGTGTGAACGCGTATACATATACAACCGAAACCTTTGTCATCGCCCGATATCTGAACCTTTACAGATGAGTGCGGCAAAGGTCGGTATCGATCGAGTTTATTTTTGGTCTTGAATTTGTAGGAGGAGACGTATCATGTATATTTCTGCGAGCACTGCAATATCAAGCCGTATATATTTAGGGAAGAGTCTACAACGACTCATGGGCGGAAGATATCAAAGTATACGATTCCAACCTTTCATAGATTCATATTTATTAATCAAATTCTTACGAGATACAATTGATCGTATATTAAAGTCATACAATATAAGTAAACATACATCATAAACGTTCGATAGCCGTATCACCATAGTTCTCCTCGTGAGAAATGTAGGTATGAAATGTGGGCAAAGTTGTACAGCAATAAAGTAGAATAAATTTGGCATACTAGAGGGAAGATTCAGCGCTATAAAGTTTGACCATTTTGTCAGATACATTTTGAATGCTACATATATCGGAGATAATGGATTGTCACACCCATGCACATTAAAAGAATTGACGATCCTATTTATTTCAGTTGCATCATGAATGTATTGATTCAATGATGGCATTTAATCTGGATGATGGATCTTCGAATTTACAACTATTCGAAGACAACTTACAACTATTTGTTTGATTGTTTATTACGTTGTAATGCATTTAAATTTCATTCAGCTGGATAAGGTTTCTTAACCGGTAGCATTGTATCGAGAGCTAGAATAAGGAGCTGCGATACTACAACGGTCCCGATCGTTGTCAACAATTCTGTTCGGATCGACGAATTTATCATGCGCAAAGAGCTATCAATCGATAAATTATTGGCCGAGCAAATCTGCTCGCCCCAAAGCAAGACGCACTTTATCAAGTCGGGGAAATGCAGATTGCTTCATGCCAGTCAAGTTTAGCGGTGTATACGCAGAGGAACGCTGCACCAAAATGCTAACAGAGAACTCATTACCAATTCTTTAACGCACTCAATCGTAAACCAAAGTACAATAATTGCTGCAAATGTTCGATGACGCCGTTAATCGTTTGCTTTGGCCTTTGAATTCCATAGTGTCAAATGTAAACATCTGGACGAGTGCCATGATGCAATGGGTTGCAAAGTTTCGTTTGCGTCGACGGGGCCCGACGCTCAGCATCGACAAAATGTAATTCGCGTTTGGTCAGCCACTTGTGTCACGCACTGCTGGCGCCTATCCTTCACTTGTACTGATCAATTTGTGCAACTGCTGCTCCGCAAAGACGAAAAGATCAGCTACTGATGAATGTTACGAGTGGAATTAATGTTGTAAGACTGCGTTCCTACTAGCGACGATAAAAAAGCGGCTGTTGCAAGCCATGCAACGGACCGAACGATTCGGCTGGTTGTGCTGAGCTCTTGGACCATGTCGATGTTTACTTCGAAGCTCATGAATGCACGGATAAGTCCGCTCATAGAATCGATGGTAATGTCTGTGTGGCCGAACCAGCACAGGCCTATTAGTGATGGAACAGGTGGAGAGAAGCTCTGATCTTGGCAAGCGCTGTGCATCATACGCGCGACGTTACAAAGCCACATATGACTTCGTTGTTTTCGATCATTCAGACTGCGTTGACGGTGCCTCAACTGCCGAGGGTCCGGAACTACGTTGACCGTTTCGGCACGCGGATGCCATTTACCACGCTACTCCTATCGACACATTTTGCTTCCCACAATTCGCGACGCAAATTCAATTGATGAACAAGTACTGGAAACGGTGCTGCTCATGACCACGTATATCGTCGTGTGAAAGCTGGATGACAAAGTAGTGGACGGTGTCGGTGGGGACTTCCTGGAAACGGTGCTGCTGTTGCTACATGCGTTGCACGCTACTCGCGTGCTTTGACCCAGCACTGGCCGTCCGACACTCGTCCATGTTGCGCTCACCGAACCCACCAGAGCTGCGACGAAGTCAGTACACCGAGCGTTTGGTTTGTGGCATATTGCTGCTAGTTATTCGAGCACGAGCAAGGAGTGCAGGTGCATTATTTGAAAGAGTGTTTTCTCCACCACATCGTGACAAAAGAACGGCTAATCGCGGGGTAAAGGCGCAAGTTGTTCGAACCGATCGATCGCATTCTGTCAATTTTGGTAGCAATGCGATACGAATGGCTGCTTTGGATTACCTCCCGGCCATTTATAGACGCGTCCTCCGGCGTATCACCTGCATATGACTAAGCTCAACGTTCTCGACAAAGGAGATGAACGTGTAAATTAGCTGTACTTGGCTCCTTGGCAGCGCCTTCTGGCCACTATCCGTGGTGAACAATTCTTTCACATCGCCTTGATGCTCTACTGCATCATTAGGCGTATGTTGCTATCCGGGTCAAGCATGGCGTAGTAGTTGGCTACGTAATAGCGAACGTCAATCAGCGCGTGGTATGGCACACCATTCAGCAGCACTTGCGTCTTTTTTGGTGATGCGACACTTGCAAACTACCATATTCGCATAACAACTCAAGCAAGTGGAGTCCTGGCAAGACTGTGGAGACTCTGACGACTGGATGCCTCCACTTCGCACAAGTCGTGACTAAAGGTACCACAAGTTGCGCTAAGGACAATGGACGGTACGCGTGCTCTGGACCTGCTGGCAAATCTGTCAAAGGCTTCACTGGATGTGCCCGAGTAGAAAGACTACAAGTATAGACTGCATAGATTCAACTACCGTAGTAACTAAAGTGTACGACACAGAACATTCGCAAGCATTGCATGCTCGGATGGCTTCGTCCGAGAGCAAGCGTGCTGAGCAAACACAGGTGAAGAGCAGCAAGCTGCTGTGAAGGAGCGGAAGCTTTCATTTGATCCGCAGCGGTTACGACGAACGCTAGCTTGAGCCTTCACCTGAGGCTTTTGTAGCTACTGGTACAGCTTGATCAATTCATCCGACACTGCTGACGGCGTAAGGACACCCAAATCTGTAAACATCAGCGCAATGTACCCCGGTGGCGTGTAGTCAAAGAATGGGCTCATAAACGATACGTCATTCATCATCTTGGCAGTGGATCCACCACCAGCACTATCGCCAGAGATAGCATCCATGTGCTTCTGCGGGACTTCACGCTGGGTCAATGGGTAGAGACGAGCAAACTTGTAGCTCTCCGCCGCCACGTAAAATTGCTTATTCAGCGCCTGCGCGATCACCGCAGTCGAGTACGTACCAATCTGCAACAGATCATCGACACTTCAGCACACGAGTCTTCCACCGGGCAAAACAAAACAAAAGTCCGTACCGAGTTGACGATCCCCCCGTTTTCAACAACGCCTTCAGCCCCAACAATTACGATATCGACTTGTTCCATGTAATACGCGACGGCGGAATCAAGGATCACCGTTGTAGGGATACCCACCTGCACAAGTTCCTGTGCCGTGCCCACTCTAGCCCATGTACCGACACATTAACACGACCGACCATCTACATTGGAACGGGCCGTCGTCTCACTCTACGCGTCCACGTACCCTGATGCAGTACTTCTTCCTTCCGTGACAAACACTGAAAAGTTCTTGGTCTTGGCAGCTTCACACAGGAGTGCAATGACCACACGGGACTTGCCATGCGTCAACACTTTCTGCGAATCAACAAGCACCGCGAATCATCCACCAAAACAACACGTTAGTCCACGGCAGGAAAGACAAGCACGTGTACTCGTTTTCGTTCAAGCGACAAACGCAGACCGACCATGCCATCGCGAATAAAGTTGTGGCCCACGTCACTAATGCGCTGGCGACTCGAGAGCGACGTCTTGGCAAACAACTTGCCGCGGTCAATGAGCTGAGAGCGACAATGGTCAAAGTCATCGAACTCCAAGAAACAGCGCGTCACGTAACGCAGAAACAATTGACAGCCAGCGGTCGTAGCGATCGAATTGTGGAAACGGGGGGCGTCGTCGGCGGCCTGGAACGTGCGCAGCTGCTGCGCGGCTTCCTGCAGCTCCCCCTCCATTTGCATCATCGTGCTCGCTTCGCTGTGCAGAATGACGTTCGTCAGCGCTTTGATCACAGCGACGGCCACTGCCACGTCGGGGTCGTCCAGGAAGTGGAGGAAGTCGGTGATCACTGGAGTCATTTTCGGTTTGATTGGGTTCGTGCGAACCGAAATGGTTGGGCAGAGGTCGTGAAGAGCGCCGTGATTGGCTGCTGCTGCTGCCACCGCTGTGTGTTGTATTACACGGACTAAATGAGACGGATTTTGGTTTACCCCATCCATGGACACGCAAGTGCATAGATAGTAGACCTGAGTCGATGAAGACAAGAGAGGAAAGCCACGGAACACTCTCGTCATGGAAACGGGTCGTCAACCTTACCAAACGTCATGCAATACTACGATGAGAATCGGTGCAGGATACTTCCGCATCACCTTTTGTCCTCCATCTGCCATCGCATGTTGACAAGGCGTTGGTTTCGCACAGGCGACAGATCCACGTCTTGAACACTTTCCGAAACAGATTCTTCCGGGGGAGTTGCTGATTGACCACGCGAACATGTTGAATGTCCCACGAGCAAGCGCCTGAAGGTTGCTACGAACTAAGGTGCATGTGGCAGGAGAAGCTTCGACATTGTAGTGACCGGCCGTGGTTGTCCACAAAGCGAATCGAAAAAGGAGGAACTCGTCGTCTCAAGCAGAATGACAAAAAGTTGTGTCAAGCGCGGATAGACCACATCCGTCCCGAAGTGCTGTGTCGTACTCGTCAACGAATGATGGCTGCCGAGGCGTACGAAAAACAGAAACGAACCGACTACCATTCCAAACTTTGCAGCTCAATGCTAATGCCGCACTCATGGCACGAGCACAAAGGTGATGTCAAAAGAGTTTTTGACACGTAATCTTGCTGACTACTGTACGCATCGACCATAAACCAAGCGTTTGGCTAACCGCGAACACTTTGGTCTTTTTCTCCACCTGTGTTTTGCACGACACGCAAAAAGCAGAACGGTACAACGATTTTATGCCAGAAATGGCTCCCAGTGCGATGCAGTCGTACTGACCCGCGCAAAACCTTTCATTGTCCAGCACGTCGCGAGCGATTGTTTCACTGTTCCCGATGAACAAAGCACTTTATTCGCGTTAAGTTCGCAGTCATGGTTCCAGATGTTTCAACAAGCGGCTTTCATGACGAACCCCGCCATCTCCTCTCCGATTGGCCAAAACCCAGTCACCGACCTCCACCACCCACCCATTTATCCTCATCTCGATCGATCGATCGACCGCCATGGCCGAGACCGAGACGCCGGTGCTTTGGTGCGTGGACGAGCTCAACGTGGCCACGCGTCGCGGCCGTATCGTGCGCAAAGTACGGGAGCGCTATCTCCGCGACGATCTGAGCTGCTCGCTGCCGAGCTGCTCGTTGTGCAGCACCGATGACGACGTGACAGCGGCCACGCACGTGCTGGGCACCATGAAGACGGTGCTGGGCGACTGTCCACGAGACGGGTCGTATCTATTGCCATCGATGAAGACGGTGTTGCTTCAGATGGACGTGTTGGAGTTTTCGTGCAAGAAAAGGACGCACGCGGACACGCGCGAAGTCTTTGCCGATGTTTTGATATTAGAGACCGTGTGGGAGTTTGTCAAGCGACAGGATCTGGGCGTCTACAATCGTCTTCGCGCGCTGCTGCTGAACGCTGATCGGCGGTTTGTCGTGTTTGCTAACGAGCACCATCAGTCGTGTTTTGTCCAGAAGCAACAGATGCTGCCTCAAGGGTACAGGGAAGACGAAGAGATAATGGGCACGTTCGAGACGGAAGACAAGCGAAATGAACGCGCTGTAGCTACTGCTTGGACGTGGTATGCCAAGCATCTGAAGGAGCTCGAGCGGAGCCACAAGGTTCGAGTTCAGTTTTTGGCCAATGACGCCGAGGACTTGAAAAGTGCTGAACACTACGGCGTCACGGGAGGAATGACGATAGCAGAGTTTCTGAAGCCTGTAGCCAGCGAATTTCCTGAACTAGTTGATTTGCTCTCGGCTTCAGTAGCGGCAGCAGAAGACAAACAGCTGACAGCTGAAGGAGTGAGCAGCACAAGAGGACGGGAGTGCAAGAAGAGATTGTATCCCGAGCATATACCAACGGCCGACGTGCTTGCCGGGATCACAAATAAGAGATTTTTCAAGGGCACAATTCGATGCAATCGCGACTTTTGGCTGGAGTGTCATGTGCTGATTTGTGGAGAGAATGGGGTGAAGATGCCAGTGTTGGTGCAAGGTCGGGAACATATCAACCGAGCGATTGATGGAGATGTAGTTGCCATAGAGCTGTTGCCGAAAGAGCAGTGGAAAGCTGCTTCGAATTCTTTTGCGGAGAATAACACAGTTGACGCGGCAGATGACAAAGATGTCGATGATGACAAAGGAGACGAGCAACCTCCAGTTATTGGTGTTGCTGAACCTACTATTTCGCCAGAACAGCTGCCACTAGTGCAGAACGACGCTGCACATAATGTGAAGCCTACCGGACGCGTTGTGAGCATCATTCAACGCAACTGGCGCAAGTATTGCGGATCGCTGGAGCCGCCACGGGATGGGACGACATTGAGTGTATCTGGAAGCTGCCTGGTAGTGCCAGTGGATCGGAAAGTACCAAAAATTATGATTCGCACACGGCAGCAAGAAGCGCTCATGGACAAACGGCTTCTAGTAGCAATAGACTCGTGGCCCTCGGATAGCAAATTTCCTTTGGGTCACTATGTGCGCACGTTAGGTGTCATTGGTGACAAGGAGACCGAAACGAACGTGCTGCTTATTGAGCATGACATCCCGTGCGACCAGTTTAGTGACGAGGTAATGCGCTGCCTCCCGCCGGAAGACTGGAAAATTACACCCGATAACTCTAGTGGACGTCGTGACTTACGTGACCTGCCAGTCATGAGTATTGACCCACCCAACTGCAAGGATATCGACGATGCTTTGCACGCAAAATGTCTGCCAAACGGGAACATACAAGTAGGAGTGCACATTGCTGATGTGACGCATTTTGTGGCGCCGGGTAGCCCCCTTGATGAAGAGGCTGCTGACCGTGGAACATCGACGTATCTTGTTGACCGTCGTCTCGACATGCTTCCTGGACTGCTGACGACCAAGCTTTGCTCGCTCACATGTACGGAAGATCACTTTGCCTTCAGCATCCTGTGGGAGATGAAGCTTGTGGGTAGTAAGGAAGTGCAGATCATCGACGTGTCGTTTTGCAAAAGCCTTATACGCTCGGTAGCTTCACTGTCGTACCAACAGGCGCAAGAGTTATTGGACGATCCCGGCGCTGGTCGTGTGTTTGGGCAGGGCGGAAACTTGACGACGAAGAAAAGTGTCGGAAGTGAGAAAGAGTCCGAGCGTCGACAGGTGCTGGGAAGTGGCATCAAGACACTGAATGCAATTGCAGCACGCTTGCGCGCTAAGCGAATCGAGGCCGGAGCTTTGACGTTGGCCTCGCCTGAAGTGCGCTTTGTACTTGATACGGATACGCAAAATCCGCTAGACGTGCAAATGTACACCCTTCGTGATACGAATGCTCTTGTGGAAGAGTTCATGCTTCTAGCCAACATTACTGTGGCCAAGAAGATTGTGCGTCATTTTCCGACCTCCTCAATGCTACGGCGGCATCCTGCACCTTCTAAACGCCAGTTTGATCTACTGTGCAGCCAGGCGAAAGCTATTGGTGTTGAGCTGCACGTGGATACGTCCAAGCAGCTCCAAGATTCGTTGGACACCGCTGACTTGCTTGTCGAGAATGGAGAAGGTGGTACGCATGGCAAGCGAAAGCATCGCAATAAGTCCAATCCATACTTTAACAAGTTGTTGCGCATAATGACCACGCGCTGTATGATGCCGGCTAGCTATTTCAGCTCAGGTGAAGTGGCGCCTCCAGAGTACCACCACTACGGTTTGGCAGCTCCAATTTATACGCACTTCACTTCACCTATTCGACGATACGCTGATGTAGTTGTCCACCGCTTGTTGGCTGCTGCCATCGGTGTTGCACCGCTGCCAAGCTACCTCGAAAATAAGTCTCACCTGCATGAGATCAGTGACCAGCTCAACCGGCGCCACCACGCAGCTCAGCTCGCTGGTAGAGCCTCGGTGACTCTACACACGGTGTTGTATTTCCAGCAGTATCCGACACGTACCGATGCCGTCATCACGAAGGTCAAGAGCAATGGCGTGGGGGTGATGTTGCCCAGTTTCGGTATCGAGGGCATGATTTTCTTGTGTGGCAAAGTAGAGCAAGATGACGAGGACGTCGTGCGCTATGATGCAAGCCGCCACTCGCTTACGTTGGTGCAGGAGAACAGCCGCACGCTGCAGGTCTTCGACCGCGTGCGCGTCAAAGTGTACGTTGCTCTGGGCTTTGGCAATCGCCAGGAAGTCAAAATGGACTTGTTGGACGAAGATGATGGATTGGACGACGAAGCAGAGGGCAAGTCCCAAGAGGAAGCAAAAGCTGCAGTTTTCAAGAAGCGTAAGGCAGCCGCGTAACTCACGTAGTCGACGTGAACTCTTATTAGCTGGCCTCTGTGGCATGTCTTGCTTGACTGTGTCTTGACCAAGTGGTCGAACGCTCTTTCGCACGTTCGGTTGCGACATATCCTTCAGGTCTTTGTTGCGTAGGGTTGTAAGTCATGGTCCTTCACCGCGTCGCACTATTCTGAAGATTGACATGTATCGCGCGGTACCAAACGTGTGCCTCCATTTGACTCTGATCGATGCACGACTGTGTCGGTGGCATCTCTGAGACGCGGCGACCTTGATCGAAATAATGGAATGGGTGCGCCCCTTACATGGAATTGATACCAAGAATTGGCAAATGCGAACATAATCTTAATTGATAATATTCTGCGATTTTTTCCTGCTACTTAAATATTATAGGCATATTACCGTCGAAGGAAATAGTCGGTACTGCTCAACTCATTGGTTGATATGCCATTATGTCGACCAGCTACACCACAAATCGCTGCTAGACGCGCGCAATAGCTGGTAGCTTATACGTGGAAGTCACAAATTAGCAGAGTTAAAGTACGATATAAGATATAGTTTACGTAGACTTGATCTACAATGTACACATAGTTTTGCCTATACCCTCTATTATCCACCTTTCATATCTAAAGTATTCTCCGTCTGCACGTAGGTAAACGTGCATAATCGAAGCACCTAATTACTGTGTAGCCAGTGTAAAGAGCTTGAACTATGTCGGTACAAGCGTCCGGTATCCCGTTACACATGGTAGCACTTCGTTGTCTGTCCAACGACCACGGATATTCTATTCAGCACGAACATGTTAATGAATGAAGAGGACGGCATCCACATCACGCGTGAAGGCTTCGCCCATTTGAGTGACATCAAATAGAATGCTGTCGAATGTACGGATATACCCATCGGCGGACCTGCCATCAGCGCTGCTGAAGTCCCGCTGAAATTCATTTGGGCTGATAACACACCGCTGCGATCCTAGTCGCACCTGAGAAGATGTATCGCGGGCAGGGAATATGAGGGATTGTGAGAAGGACTTCACTTGTATTGATGTAGGTATATGGTAAACATCAGGAACAGGACTTAGCCCAAGTTATTGTCTGAAATGTTATGCGGAAATGGATAGACAGGGAACAGAATTAAAATTGTAAAGTACACCGAAGGTTCGGTGAAGATCTCTGCTTGCAACCATAACAGGGTATGAGCCCAACAATGCGAGGTCTAGCAAGTAGCGGTCGACCGAGGATAGAGATAAACGAGAAGACAGGGCTTCTCAAATTATGGAATATGGAATATGGAATACTGGTGTCTCTACAAACGCCTCATGATCCCATTCTTCAAAGACGAAGAGAAGGACGCGATTGCGCAAACAAATTTGATCGCTCATCGCTACAGACTGACGTTAGACGAAAAGTTATAAAATACTTTCAGAATGAGCTAAAGCAACAGACTCTGAGCTCTCTACTGGCTGATATGGCACCATGAGTGTAGCGGAGCTGAACAGCTCCTTAACTCAAAGGAATCTAACGCTCTACGAGCAACTTCGGTTCAAAGAACCCGACTTAGTGAGTCAACAAGCTCGAGGAGCTCACGGTGCCTGTTTCAGGGGACCAACGATGTAAAGAATCACAGCACAGAGTGCTCAAGATAAGTTCTCTTTTACAAGGCGTTGCTAACTCTTCTACGATCACAAGACGTCTTAGGCAGGCACGTGTCTTTACATATCAAAATGGAAACTGAACCGAATTTCTTCTTTATCGAAAAGAAGACCTCAGACGAACGTACTTAATCTAGACACTAATGTTCTAATTAATACCTCCTGAAAGATCTCGTAATTCGGTGTCTGACACACGTCAGCCCGTAACAGCTGATAGGGTGTTCTAATATCATCTTTTATTGGGAATCCGTCCCTTGTGTAAACCACACATTCGTGTAAACCGCACATTTTTGTAAACCCCGTTAGACCGTCCCTAGTGTAAACCACACATGTTGTCTAACCCCGTTACAATGAGTTTACAACATGGGCACCGGCACGGAGATGCAGGAGTGCCCCTTAAGTTACGTTGATGGCAATCAGAACAACAAAATTAAGTTTCCAACATGAGCCTTATGTATGACATGCTGCAGTATGAAAGATGAAAATCATGTGAAAACATCGAATGGCATATGTGTGGTATAGTAGTTAATCAGATCTGTGGCAATACAGTCTCAACGTAACAACACAACAATCGCCGAGCTAGTCGGAGCAGTAGGGATTTTATGTCGGGTCAATTCCCTTCACGGTCCGCCCCTTCGGGTTCAGTTGTGGCTCATGCCTAGCTGAATACCTTTCACCACTTACATTCCTTTCCAGAAGACTGCCTGAGCTCAGCAGTTTCCGTTTCTCTAATTCTGTGACCTCGTACCAATGGGTGGACGTCGGCGTTTTCACGCTTTAAAGGCCACTAGGCGCAGTGTACGCCCGACTAGAAGACTTACGGTGTCCTTGCTTAAACACCCCCGGCTCATCGCTCAACGAGCCTTTGTAAACTGCCGTCTATTAAGTCACTGGCTCGCCGTTCGCGAGGCTTAAAGCGGTGACGCCTATTGGTTCACCGGCTTGCCGTGCGAGGAGAGTTAAAGCGGTGCCGTCTACTGGGTCAATGGCTCGCCCCGACGAGACTCAAAGCGGTGCCGTCTACTGAGTCACTGGCTCGACGTGCGACGAGATTGTATTTTGCTGGAAGCGAGTGATGCCCACCTCGGGCTGACTTAACTCTTGGCGCTTCCAATCGAGATACCTATAAGATATGCTCATCGAGGCTCGATAGCAGGCATAATCGAGCCCACGCAGGGACTTACCTTAACGTATACACGTGTCTTGGAGTTGGAAAATGCTGCTCTGTATTGATCATCTCATATTCCCTTGCTGACTGTGAAGGAAGCTTGAGTGGTTCTCCTTCATCCCCCACGTCGTCCTATGCTAACTACTAGTGGGATGGAATAGCCATCATCTCTTTCCTTTGTCGAGTATTGGATCGTCGAGTTTTCGCTCGTCAAGTCTTTCCTGGTTGAGTCTTGTCTCGTCGAGCCTTCCTCGTCGATTCCTAATTCGTCGACTCCGAAGTTTTCCAGCTTCTATAATAGAGTTAATAATTTCTATAATCAAGTCAAAAAAAGGGAATGCCACGTTTGGAAATTCCCTATACCACACATGGCTTACATATTTAACCTTCGTGAGCTATCAGTGATACTTAATGCGGTAATTAATGGTTGTTGTGTGAAATTATTTCGATTGAGCCGCTTGACAACATACAACTCAATTCCGGATGCTACAAAACAAAGTAGATATGAATTTGGTTCATGTAGATACTCCAACGAAGCTCCGAGACGAAATCCTAATTATTGATGCTCATAATGATCAGATGCTGTGACTGCATATTGAAAGTAGATCTACCAGCGAGGCTGAGAACAGGCCAACAAGTTTGAGTTAGAAGTCACGAAATGAAGAAGGAACTCATAACTTAAAAGCTTGTTTTTATGTACTGAATCTAGGCACCGCGTATATATTGCCCGCGAAAAAGAAAGAAAGCAGTGCAAAATCCAATGAAGAGCTCGTTAGTATTCGACCGATATATCAAACGTATAAATAAAGCTAGTGTCTATGTATTGGGGAATAAAGAATGTGACGATTAAAAAGTAGGTCACATCGTTTCAGAGCGATCAGAGGACTGGAACAGAAAACGCGCAAGTGGCGACAGAGGGTAATCGAAAGAAGGTTCATTGCTAGAGTAAGGTTCAAGAGTGGGGATATCTAATATAGATATAACAGCTACAAAAATGGTATTTATCCAGTGTCAGTGACGTTTGCGTCGCGTGTAATCGATTCGTTATTCGTCTGTACAAATGTTTTGATCACACGAAGCAGCAAAGCATCACATGGATTTGCCTGTAGTGTAAAAAACGAATGGCATAGAATCTGTGGAGCTTTAAACAAGCGTGGTTAAAGCCAACTACTTACAGACGTTAAATGATGTTATATACGTAGATAAAGCACAATCAAATGTTTGTACCATTAACTACTTTATAAAAAAGACTGCGAAGGTTACTATCAAAGCGAAGAAAAGATATTTCGCATCTAATATCAGCTTCTTTTGACGATGTCTGCGGAGTCAATTAAGAGGGTATGATTGTAATCAGTTTGGCGAAAGACGTAATTACGAATCAAGAGAGAAGTCGGGCGTTGGTATTGATGGAAAAAAGAGGAAGTATGCTTCAAGAAAAAAATGGCGCCTTAGAACTACAGAAGTGACACGAACCACTTGGGCATGTCTATGCAAGCTACTTCGACTGATGAGTTGATTAACACCTTGTAAAATGCGAAGTGCTGAATAATAACACGTTTTCCGATTTTGAAGTTTAACACTTGGCAAACCTGAAATAGAAGTCTGATAAGAAGTGTATATCAAAACAGTTTATGTACTGAACGACTTATTCTATGCAGACTTGTACTTTTCGACATAAATAGAAATACAATAATGTCTGCCATACTGATACTGTTGCGTTTCTATTTGTATATTTGTTGCGTTGGATGCCTTGATTATACAGATAAATATTTTAGTAAACCCACTTATGAAAACATATTGTATGTGGGCTGAACATCATGTCACCGGAATTTAGCGACACTGGGTTCCTATAATCGACCCGACTTCACGAACGATATAATTTATAGTATTGTTACTAGTGTTAACAAACTGCTCATCATTTTACAGTTCCATTATACGCTTATCGACGTAAAGCTGGGCGCAAAATCATCGAACAATTGATATTTTGCAAAAAACCATGATGCTGCTGTCCGGTTTCCATTTATCACTTTTGGCGTATCTGACGAAGACCGCTGTAAAATCAATTAACTTATCATATATTAAAGGTATCAAAGTAGACCCCATACGAGTATGTGCAATTATCTATCAGGTTTTTACCGTGCGAAGAATTTCAATGATATGTCATGCATACATATGTCTGCGTCA